CAACATCGGAGGCCCAAGCGCCTTAGAGATGTGGCCAGAGGGTTCAGCATAATCTCCCCCCTTTTCTTTTCTCGCTCTTCCCGCCCTCCCCCCCACTACCCCGAAACTGCTGGAAAGTTATCTGAGTTCCGACGCCTAAAGGGGGAACCGGGACGCCAGGGGGGATGGGTCTTCCCCTCACACCCCCACCCCCACTCCGCCGCCAGGTTGGGACGCCCTCTGTTGTTGCAGACAGAAGGAACTTCAAAGAATGGGCAGTAAGGGTGTGCCATAAAGGCCGGGTCTGCGAACTGTCTGGAATTCGGCCCTTAATGAGTTTACAACTGTCCAGCCCCAATTAAGATTTTCGACCAAAGCCCTTTCATTTGTTTGCTCTGTCTGCACCGATAAAGCGGCTGCGGAAACAACTCTTTTATGGGCACTGCGCTCTCGGCAGCGTAGATTCCGGGCTCCACGCACACCCCCCCGCCAGGGACTGGGTCCTCGCCCAGCTTTGGGAGCGGGTTGCCCGGCCTGCCCGCTCGCGGCAAACGAAGTTCAGGCCGGGCTGCCGGGGCTGCAGTGCAGGGATTCTGCCAGCAGATGGCAGTATGGCTCCACGCATGAGGCGCCCGCGCCGCCATCTCCCGCCGCCGCAACCCTGGGAAGTTCCTAAGATGTCGACTTGACGCTAGCCTTTCTCGAATGGGAGCCCCAGATTTGAAAGAACTACGGTCGTATATTTTCTTTGCTGCTCACGCCGGCCCGGAAACCTCGCCGGGAAACAAGCTAGCGGTGGGACTCGCCCGACCTGCACCGCTCCCGCCCCCTTTCCTCTCCCTGATTCCGGAGGCCTAGCGCTGCGTGGCTGCAGCCGTCCGGCGGCTGCGGGGAGGCAGCTCCAGGCGCGGGGGTGGCTCTAGGGTCACCGTCCCCAGGCCGGGACAAGCCTTGGGGCAGCGCGACGCTCGGAGAACTCGGTTTGACCCAGCGGACAAACCAGGACTAAGGCTTACAGCCCCGGGACTTGGTGACCCCCCCCCCAGAGGGTATGCAGAGGGCGCATACCTTGGCCAAGGCTCCTGCGGCAGCCGGGGAGGCTCCCTAACGCTGCGCCCCGGTAGGAGGCCCAGTGAGCCAGCACCCGCAGGAGAGCCGGGACCCCAGCACCCGGCCGCCTCGAATAAGTGGCAATAAAATTAGGCGGCAGAAAATCGGAGGAAAAGACATTCTTGGTGACTTTCTAGTGTGGGTTTGGCGGCTGAATTGCCCGGGATGGGGAATCCCTGGGAGCTCACCAGGGACTGCTTTGATTGTTCCAAAATAAATGCGATGTTTAAAATAATTATAATAACATCCTAGCTCCAGGATAGGAGTTCACGTCGTGAAAGCTGCCCTTGCTTTCTCTCGCCACCGAATTTCCTTGGCAGTGGAGCTGCTCAGGCTGCTCTGGTTTCCCGTGTTCAGGAGGCGAGGAGGAGGGAGGGGGCCCCAATCTAGGCCCAGCCTATCCTGGACCCTGGGCAGGGAACACGCCCCGGAACCTTCCAGGAGGCGGCCACGAGTGCGGGTGCGAGGATCAACCCCTGGTGCAGAATGGTTTCAGAGGGAAAACGCAAAGCAAACAGAACCCTTCGAAGCACCCCGGAGCCTTGTGAACACGCCACGCAGTGTATTTATTTGGGTTGTAATAGTGTCTGCCAAGCCCACAAAATGTTTACAACCTGCGTCTCTGCGCTGTACACGCTGTAAAACTGGGAACTGGATCTTGGCTGACAGATCTCCTGAGTGTTTCTCTCTCTCTCTTTCTCCTCCCTCCCTTTCCTTCCCTCTCCTCCCTCTTTCTCCGTTTATATACACATGTTGGTATTGCAGACACACGTCTCCATTATATTTCCTTAAATAACACAGTATTTCACAGCATCTGATTGTAAGAAGGGTTTTATAGCTTCCCCGAGAGCCGCCCGTGGTCATGTATCCAAGCTGCAGATAGCTCAATTTATGTAACTACAAATAAATGGCGCGGGAGCAGATCGGTGGCGACCGCTTCTCTCCACCGATTACGGAGGTTCCAGGTAGGTGCCGGCTGGTTGGGATCTCAGAGGCCTCCTGGACTGACTGCCACGCCAGGCCTCCCTTGCCCTTGGCCGGCGATGGCTGGGAGACGGCTCTCCTGGCTCGGCTGCCTGGGAAGCGCTTCCCTGTTAGCTGCGCAGACAACCCCCCCTACCCCGCGTCAGCCCCAGCTCCTTTGCACTCGTCGGGCACGGATGTGTCCCCGCACTGTGACCGACCGGGGACTGCGGACTGCTCAGTGACTGAAGAACCGAACCGTGCGCAGCCCGTGCGAGGGGCGCGGGTGGAAACCTTTAGAGAAGCAAATCGCCAGCCGTCAGACTCGAGGCAGGCTCCCTTCGCTTGCCCAGAGCTGGGCTTATGTTCTTAGCTGGGTTTAAATATTGAGCACTATTTGGTAACAAGAAGCAAGGGAAACACATTCTGCTTGGTAGGTAGGAACCCAGCTCCAGGAGAGCAGTGAGAAAATGTCTTTATGTAAAGACAGCTGGCTGATTAGAAACCCTCCTGCACGTGCCTGCTCCAGGCTGATCGTCAACGAGTATTTCTGTGAATATTATCACATATAACCCAGTGCATTTGTGTCTTTTCAGCCAAATAAGTAGGAAACCAATGGCTCAAGAACACGCGATTAAGGAGGCCTTACTGAAAGCCTGACTCTGTCTGGCCTTTTCGTTTTAAAACCCCGCCACCGAAGGCAGGAGGAAAGAGAGAAGCCCAGAAACGAAAGAAAGGATTCGGCACCCGCGGGACTCGGCCCAGTTGGCTGACGTGGGCCCAGAAAGGCTGAGGCCTTGCCGGCAGTATCTGGATTCTCCTTGGCCCAAGCGGAGGGGCAGCGCGCCCTGCCAGGACCCTGTGGACCTGCGCTGGACAAAACCCAAGCAGGGATGAGCCTGTGGCGTTCCTTCCCGCCCTCCCCTGCTCCCCGAACTCTGTCCCTACTTGGTCTGGGTCGTCTCACTTCGGGGCAGGTTTTACTTTAAACGCCATCGCTGTTGGCCGCTCCAGCCGCCCGAGTCTAGACAGACGGCGGCAGCGGCGGGGCCGGGTCTTTCTCTTTGCATCTTGCTCTGTGTCACCCGGGGAACAATTTATTGGTCTAAAGCTGTCTAATTCCGCCTCTTTGATCTCCTAGCTTTCTTGCTTGCTTCGTCTTCCTTTAACATTTTTAGGTTTTTATTTCCTGCAAGAAAGCGGTGCTATTTGGAATATTTAGTTTTTCTTCCCTTCCCATGTTACAGCCTCCATTCCCCAACTAAGACATACTATCATCCCGATCCTCCATAAAGAGCATCCCCGAATATTCCCCCCCCACAGCCCCTGTACCCCCAGGGGAAACCAGCAGGCGCCCACCTGCCCGGACAGCCCCCTCTCTCCACCCACGCCCCTGGGCAGTCCACTAGGCAGGAACTGGGGCTCCGTTGCATCCGGGTCTGAACCCTCTTGCTGCCTTTTGTGCTCCTGGGACCCGCTGAGAGGGTGCAGTGAACGGGGGCGGCCTGGACTCTCTGAAAGTGATGGGAAGTGCTTTGTACACAAGGAACCAAACTCTATAATTTAGAGGAGAATTTCCGGGGCAATTCCATTGTGAGGTCGGGTTTATGGTGTGCAATCGAGCTGAGCAGTAAAAGGCATACTGACCCGGCGCCTGGGCTTCCAGCGCGGCCTGAGCAGTTTATGAGGCGTTTAGGGGAAGGGTTCGCCCCACCACACTCCACCGATCGGTGGGCGGCAGGGGCTTGGGCTGGTCCAACCCTGCGCAGGGGTTGGAGGCTTGCAAAGGTAAGCTCCACGCGCTTGGGGCCTGAATGGGAAGGAGGGAGACTATAATGTGTTCTGCTCTCTGTGAGCCAATCTTGGAAATGTGAAGCTGCCAGAACTGGGTCGTCTTTCTAGAGGGGTCCCCCTATTTGTTTGGGGGGTCTCCAAAAGAAATGGAGATCCATAGCGGGCTGAAGCCCCCAGGCACCTGGGTCCCTTTCTCTCCTCTCAAACTGTCTCTAAAGTATGTGTTGCTTGCTCCCAGGCACTCAAGTCCATGAAGAGCTGGCAGAGGCCCGTGGGTGGCCCCAGTGAAGTCTTCCAGAAAAGTCCCAACGCTAGGGGTACCGGGAAAGGCGTGGGGTCTGAGGTTCCCCCAACCTTGGGGGAAAGAGACTTGGTTCCCCTTGAGCGAGGGGGAACCAGAGGTTGCAGGGAGGACAAAAGAGTGTCCAGCTATTTCGTAGGCTGCCAGAGGCCAGCCAGGTGCCCAGGAGCGAATGCACAGAGCCTGCCAGGACGGCGGTGTCCTGGAGGAGGGAGGGAAGCCCCACGTTAATAAATCTGTTGGCAAATGAGGCTCATTAATAGATAAATATTTCACTGCTTCCTTTAAGGCGGATAAACAGTGTGCCGCCGATTAAGGAAAGGAAGCTGGGAGACGTTGACTTTATTCGAACCACATGGTTCCAGTTTGCGGTCGCGTTCTCGCTGCAGCTGGAAGCGACGCTGCGCCGGCCCCATCTGGATCATAGTCTAAGTGGGCCTATCGCCCAGTGGACCTGGGTGGGGGGCGGGGGGAGAAGCGGGCAAAGAACAGATTTGCCCGGAGCTGAGACTTGCCCATGGGCTGCCGCGGGGCGGGCGGGTGCGCAGAGTGTAGAGACCCTCCCTAGGCTGGGTCAGTAGACTAGACAGGGGTCGGGAGGGCCTGCAGGCTTGGTCCAGAGTGCGGTCATAGGCTAAAGGAGGCGGTGCCCGGCCGACCCCGGGCAGCCTCTGCAGGCCAGACGTCCACGCAGCGGTGGGCTGACCGCTCGCGCGGAGCCTCGGGGTCCTCTTCCCGCGGGACGCGCCAGGCCGGCCGGGCGCGGGCAGATTCGTTGGCCACATATTTGAGCCTCTTCCCCTTCCATTCTAGGCTGCCGCGGGCCCCGCGGAGCAAGACCACCTGTGAGGGCTGCTGAGATTGGCGGAGGCGGTCATGTGGGCGGTCACGTGCTGCGGCGAGCTCCGTCCAAAAGAAAATGGGGTTTGGTGTAAATCTGGGGGTGTAATGTTATCATATATCACGCTACCTCGTAAAACCGACACTGAAAGCTGCCGGACAACAAATCACAGGTCAAAATTATGAGTTCTTCGTATTATGTGAATGCGCTTTTTAGCAAATATACGGCGGGGGCTTCTCTGTTCCAAAATGCCGAGCCGACTTCTTGCTCCTTTGCGCCCAACTCGCAGAGAAGCGGCTACGGGGCGGGCGCCGGCGCCTTCGCTTCCACCGTACCGGGCTTGTACAATGTCAACAGCCCCCTCTATCAGAGCCCCTTCGCGTCCGGGTACGGCCTGGGCGCCGACGCCTACAGCAACCTGCCCTGCGCCTCCTACGACCAAAACATCCCCGGGCTCTGCAGTGACCTCACCAAAGGCGCTTGCGACAAGGCGGACGAAGGCGCGCTGCACGGCCCGGCCGAGGCCAATTTCCGCATCTACCCCTGGATGCGGTCTTCAGGTAGGCGAAGCTGCTAGGCTAGCTGGGTGGACGCGCGGGCGGACAGGCAGTGGGGAGCGCCGGGCTGGGGAGCGCGGAGCGCGGAGAGAGGCGACTGTGAGCCGGCGGCCCCGTGACTCCTGGCGGCGCTGCCTTTCTGGTTTTAATTAGAGTCAAGGCGCCATAGCGTGGAGAGCCCGTAGCATTGTATGTAAATGAGGCTCATAAAACTTTTTATGACCCAATTAATGGGTTCGATCCTCGTAAATTTATTTAACTCCATTTGCCTTGGAATTTTAACATTTTGTTCGCTATTCTCTTTCTCTCTCTTGCTCTCTCCCTTTCTTCTCTCCCTCCCTCCTCCTTTCCTTTCGACCCGGCTTTTCTTTTTCAAAAGCAGGAAGAGCCAAACCCTTCATCAGGGCCCCTCTTACGCCCCTGTGCCAGGGGCCAGTTAAAGGAGGGGTGGGGAACGAGAGCGGGGACAGGGGGTTGGAGTGCCCACGGAAGGTCTGGGGATGGGGGCGCGGTCTTCTAGGGAGGAAAGGCGCCCCTGGAGTGCGGACCGCCCGAGGGTCACCCACTTGCCTAGCAAAGGGCGGGGGAAGCGGCCCAGCTCGCCTTTGAATGGCAAAAGCGCAGCGTCTCCCACTTGCCCACACTCTATATTTACAATTTCCCTTTGTCAGGGGGAAGCAGGACATTGTGGAAGCCTAGCCGGCTGGAAAGGGCGGTTGTAAAGTTGGGATTCTGCGCCTTTCCTCCTCACAGAGCTGCCTGCCCCTCTGGCACCGCAATTGGGGTCTTCCGCTAACACTCCCGCTCCTCCCCCAGCGCCGGCCGAGGGGGGGGACGCGCGCCCGGGTCAGCGCTGGGAGAAAGGTGCGGGCTCTGGGACGGCGGCCTGGCTAATGCACTGTCCCGTCTGTGTCTCTGTTGGTTTGTCTGTCCATGTGTCCATGTGTCCGCGTGTCTGCTCCCAGGGCCCGACAGGAAGCGGGGCCGCCAGACCTACACGCGCTACCAGACGCTGGAGCTGGAGAAGGAGTTCCACTTCAACCGCTACCTGACGCGGCGCCGCCGCATCGAGATCGCCCATGCGCTCTGCCTCACCGAGCGCCAGATCAAGATCTGGTTCCAGAACCGCCGCATGAAGTGGAAGAAAGAGCATAAGGATGAGGGTCCGGCTGCAGCCCCCGAGGGCGCCGTGCCCGCTGCTGCCGCCGCCGCCGCCGCCGCCGCCGCCGCCAAGGCCGACAAGGCCGATGATGAGGACGAAGACGAAGAAGATGACGACGAAGAGGAGGAGGAATGAGGGGCCAAGTCGGGGCCCTAGCTGCACCAGACAGTCGGGAAAAGCGTCTTTAGAGACTCATTGATTTTATTTACAAAAGTGGAAAAAATAAAAAGAAAACGTAAAAACAAAAACAAAAAACAACCCAGTCCCCAACCTGCACCCATCTGCCCCATTACCCACTCCAGCTCCCATCTTTTCTGGACCGAGCAGCCGCCTAGACTGGGTCCCCTTGGGGATCTCTCTGCCCCCAAGGATCCCCAGCAGACACCCTCCCTAACCCCAGTCCGACCAGCTCTGCGCTGGCACGGCTAAAATACTACCTAGCACAGGCCTCGGCCAGAGGCACCCCAAACTACCTATGGGCCCAGCCCCGGTAGGCCTCCACTCCCAGGAAGCCCAGATGTGTCCCAACACTGGCAGACACCCAGCACCTCCTCCATACCGGCAAGGACCTGATTTTCTCAGTACTACCTACTCCTCCCAAACTACCTATTTTGTGCTCACTGGCTCGCCTGCTACCTAGTGCCGGCCCCTTCCCCCGTCAGGCCCCTCCTGCTTCTGCCTGGCAGCCTTTGGGGTCCCTGAGGCTGCATGGAGAAGGTGGTGGGGTCCGGGGACCAGGGTATTGGCTTCTATTTAAATTGAAAAATAATATATTTATTCCAAAGCATTCTAAGTGCTGCAACCTAGAATCCCTCCTTCTCTGGCCTGGGCACCCCAAGTTCAGGCCCATTACCCCCACTTCTGGAGGGGAGCATTCCCAAGCTAGCTGCAGATCTCTGGGTTAGCTTCTGCTTAGTAGGACTGCAGAGATGCTCCCAGCCTCCCTGCACCTCCCCTGGCCCCTATGTCCTACTGTCCAGCCATGTTGAATATGTACACCCTGACTTTTCCTACAATAGTAAATACTGTATATTTGAACAAGACTTTTTTTTTGTCATTTATATAGTCTTGGAGCTCATTTGTAAGGCAATGTCTTGACTTGGGAAGGATGTGTTAATGGGGTGACTTTGTAGCATGGTGTGTTGTCTTGAGCTAACTTTATAGCTGGTGGGGAGGGCTGATGCCCTTCCCAATACCCTTCATCTCTTGTGTTGTCCTGCGTCCCCCTTGTCCCTGTAGGCTCTAGCTTGGGGTTCCAGGAATGGGAAGGCACACTTCCTGTCTTGCCCAGCTAACCGTGTTTTATGTAACAGAAAAATAAAGATGCTTGGTGACAAAAAAAATGTGGACTGCTTTATACAGTGGGGCCTGGGAAAGAGAGGGAAACCTGGCTGGGGTTAGCTCAGCCCGGGTTTGCTATGTCTGGATGCCCACAGGGGCTTTGGGGAAGCAAAAGTGGAAGGACAAATAGGGTCCAAGTGTTGAGTGGCTATGTATTGGTGTATATGTGTGTCGAGTCCCTTTTTGTGTGGATTCTAAGGTGTGGATTTGTATAGGTATGTGTGTACCTCTTTTGTATGTGTATTTTATATATGTCTGTGTGTATTACTACACAGGTCAGTAATTTTATGTAATTCTGTGTCCAAAATTGAGTGCATGTGTTTCTGTGTCCATAATTGAGTATGTGCATTTCTGTGTGTCCATAATTATATATGTGCATTTCTCTGGAGATTTTCATCTTGGTTTTGTGTGTGTGCACAAACATCTTCCAGATCTCTTGAAAATGGACTCTTCAATGGATACATTCTATGAATCTCCCTTAAAAAAAACCCTCCACAAATTCCATGAGCAAATCTAAAATCCACCCTTTCCTGTAAGACTGTGGGATGGGCTTGGAAAGGGGTATTACCCTGCCAATGATCCCGAATTTTCCATGAGTCCTGAACACGGCCCCGTGCTAGGAGGTGGGATCAGGACCTCTGACGCAGCCCCCCTCCCACCCTGCATTCAGGCAAAGCAAGGGCGCCCAGGCACAGCACTGCAAATGAGGGACATGGGAAGGGGCAGGGACCCAGCAGACCCGGGCTGCGGAGCCTTGGCGGGGGCGTCCGGGTGCGGGGAAGGTGGAGGGTCTGGGTAGGGGCGAGGGGCGATGTGGACAGCGCAGAATAGCCTGAGCTCGGCAGGCGAAGACCTCGACTCCAGCCTCCTGCCTAGGTTGGGCCCGCTTCTTATGGCTCTTTTAATAAAACCCGGCCCAACTGGGTTTGTTAAACCTGCGGCCCCAAGTCGGGGCGGCCTCGGTGGTAAGATGGCGCCGGTGTAAGAGCTGCCTCCTCTTAGTGATGGGGAAAGGGTCATAAATCCGTTGTTGTTTATGAAAATTTACAACTTTGCAATACAACTTTATGAGTTGTTCGGCCCTTCCATTGGCCGCTGTCGGTCATGTGGATGGGAACCGTGAACATGAACTTTTTTATAATTTCCCTTGCGAGAATAGAGCCGCATTCTTTTGCTCCGCTCCGTCCTGCCTGCTTCGGAGCTCTGCCTTCCAGCCGGGCTTGGCTGCGCTTTGTCCGGCGATGGCGAGCGAGACGAGGCCCTGGCCCGGCCCGACCCGGCCGCTCCCGCTGGAGGTGGGGCGCGTCCAGTTCCCCGCGCCGCGGCGGCCGCTTTGCAACTCGCAACCTGGCTAATTTCCTGCGTCCTCTGGCACCAGGAAGGAGGACGATTCGTCTCCCCGGCTGCCCAAGCGACAGCTGTCAGAGGGGCAGGAGCTTCTGGGAGCCGCCATCTGAAGGTGAGACATGTGGGGAGACAGGAGCAAAGGTGGTGAGATGGCAGCCGGCGGCGGCGGCGATGGGAGAGGGCACCCAGGACGGCTTTGAAGAGGGGCATACTCACCCTCGCCCACACTCACCGTTCACACTTGCCCCCCATCACGCGCGCCTGCACACGCGCGCGCGCGCGCACACACACACACACACACACACACTCCCTTTCTCTCTCCTCTCCCTGGCTCACCATGGCAGTAAATGCCAGCCTTCCTTTCGTGGCACAGCGTCCTGGCATGGGGCAGGAGCACTGGGGTCTTCTCTCTCCTCTTCCCCAGCGACCTTGCCGAGCCCCAAAAGAAGTGGCCCGGCACTCAGCGTTCCCAACCAGCCTCTCCGGTTTGGATTTTTTTTTTTTTTCCCATTCATGACCCAATTGGCTCGACTGAATTCCCCAACAACTGGGGACAGTTCCCGACCTGGGGAGGTGGGAAGAGGTGAGGGCAGAGTGAATTAACTGACATGCGTTTTGTTAGTATCAACACAGCACCTTCTGTTCTGAGGGAATCGGTTTCTGGAGAGAAAGGTAGAATGAGGAAAAACAAACAAAAACTTACTAATTCAGCCAGGTTCCTCTGCTGATTGCCTCCTTCCCTTCACGCGGTTTTCCGATGACAGAGGTGTCTGAAGCGCGGGGAGAGGGACTAGGTGCGTGGGTGGTACTCTGCGTTGGAGGAGAGGATGGGGTTAATTGGCTGGGTGTTGCTTGGCGGGAAGTTTCGGTGCAGAGAATGTAGTGGTGTTACTGAGTGTGGCAGGGGCCGCAGCTAAGGTTGAAGGAAGGACGCAAACCGAGTCTGGGCGATAGGGGGACCCCCCCACCCACCTCGGCGCAGCCGGCTGGCGACCGCACGCCCCACTTTGCGCGAGCGGGGAGAGGACTGTGGAGCCGCCGGGGAGGAGGCACGGAGGGTGCCGGGGGCGTCGGCTTTATGTGGCGCGGTGGCACAGACTGGGTGCGCCTCGGCCAGATTTGCCCCAGTAGCTTCCTGGGACTGCGACCAGAAACGATCCTGAGGTTCTGGGCTCGAGTTCTTTTTGTTGGTTTTGTGGCTTTGGTTGTTGTTTTCCCACCTTAAGATAATACCTTGGTATGCATTAGAAAATTAAGAAGGGGCTGTGGATGTTTGGGACGGCCACGCGAGCTGTGGGTGCGCTCAGGGCGGATAAAGCGGCGCATTTGCGTCGCAGGGCCGCGGGCTGCCTGACTGCGGCTGCCGCGGGCAGATTATTTATTGCGACCGCGCCGGGCGCTCGCTGCTGCCACGCTGTGGCCGTCGCCGGGACCGACGCCAGCCGCAGCCCCGCGTCGTGCAGCCTGGCGCGACTGCTGCGCGGGCCCCTCAGAGATTCCCAAGCAGGCCGAGGAGAGCCGGGCAAGGGAGGACCCGAGGGGCGGCCTCCCAGGGCCTGTCGGGAACCTCCCCCGCCTTGGCCACCCCTGACAAGAGCTGGACGCCCGACTAGACTCGGGTCCTCCCCCCACCCCCAGCGCCATGGAGACTGGTTGCACAGGCGGCCTGGCACGTCATGGCTGCTTCTGTCCAAACTGCGCGTCCCAAGGCGCCCCCGGGGCGCACGCTGGTGCGGGGAAGGCGCCCGCTTCGGGATTTCGAAATCGGAGAGACCACTCCTGGTCCCGAGGCCTGCAGGCCTGGCTGGCCTTGAGGATGATTGACTATGGCAAGAAAGGCGGGCTTTGGCGCCAGGCGAGGGCCTGTGACAGGCAGAGGCCGCACCTGTATGCTATGGGCTCTGGCCTGGGCTACAGATCGAGGCGGCCCGGGGGGCCCTCAAGGTCCCCCTTCCCCCCACGGCAGGCCGCCCTCCAGGCTGGCGGACGTCGAGTGGGCAGCCCAGGTAAAGGGCCGACTGTGGGGCCCTGCACGCCATCCAGTCCCCTTTGAAGAGCGGCTGAAAGGTAAGTGGACTTTCTCTGTGGCTTTGACCTAGAAGAGAGAGTCCTGGTAGCCATTCTCACTATCCCAGGAGAGGCTCCCTCCGGCGTCTGGGGCTCCTATTCTTGCCTGAGTGTGTGTGTGTGTGTGTGTGTGTCTCGCTCTGTTTCTCTCTCTCTCTCTCTCCATATATATATAGGCACCTAATGCTGGTTGGAGAAATAAATTGGGCCATTGCCAACATAAGATGTACCAGACTTGGCTAACACGTAGAGATTTCAATTTATGTTTTTCTATCTCAGCGCCTGTAGAAGCTAGAAATACAATGTTTTTTGGCTCTTAGCTGAGAAATCAAATTCTGTCATTGTCTGGGGGTAATTATTAGATCAAGAATCCAAGTCAAAACATAACAAATAATAACAATAGTAGTATATAGAGTGGACTGCCATCAGTCCCAATACTGTGTGAGACCTGGAGGTATGACACAGAAATTATAAAGGTAAACATTTATCAACATCTCCCAACAGTTATTTTTGTCTTACACAATAACAATTTGTTTGAAATCACTGTCTACTGATGGTCTTGTTTAAGAAACAATAACTCAAACATGATTTTCTTTGGACATAGCTTTTAAAAAATAGTTTCCTTTAGAATTTTTAACTTGAGTTTTCATTTTCAGCTATTGTGTCCATTCTCTGAGGAAATTCGAGGGAAATGTTACATTCTATCCTCTCCTGCCCGGCCGGCCCTTCCTTATATATGCAAAGGAGAAACTTTCCCAGCTTGGATTGATTGGGGCACAGGCAGAAAGCTTCTGGGTGCAGCCCCCATTGCGTGGGGAGAAGCCACTTTCAAGCGAGCTCGCTAGGTTCTGTGGAGGCCACCCGTAGCCCCGTCCTTTCCCAGTTTTCCCCCTTTGAGGGAAGTGAGGGCAGGGGGGAGAAAATCAAAAAGCAAGGAAGAGGTTAAGGAAGTCGTTGGCAGATTCCTAGGAGGGCATAGCCAGCCCCCCCCACGTCCTGAACCCCATGAGCCTGCATTCACCAGAGTTTTACAGATCTTACAAACATCCTCTGGAAATTCAACCAAATTGTATAAATAGTCTTTCTTCAGCCTCCGCAGAACTGAGGATTTTAAAGCTAATTCAAGGGTTTTACAAGCCCAACAAATACAGTTGTAAAAATGCCATTGGAAAGATATCACATTTTACAAAATGAGATTGATCCATGTGCTGTAAAAGTCAGCTATCTCGAAGGCACACCTATCAAGCAAGGGAAAGCAACCCAGGACATG